TTTTAACAAAATGATCTGCATAAAAATTAGCTGCTTCTAACCATGTTCCCCATCGCGTTAAAATAGGTTGTGGTGGAAGAGGAATGTTAGGTAGCATTTCTTTATAAAGTTGAATTCTTATAAGAGATTTAAGAAATACTTTTTTGACACTGGATATCATGGTATTTACAAGAGGAAACTTTTTTCGTATTTCCTCTGCAACTCTGTTTAATCCATGCGCTACACAAGTAACATGTATTAAATCTGGGAAAAATATTTTTAAATTTTGTCCTGCTTTCACTATATAAGGAGCAGCATCCGATAAAATAAGCAGTAATTTATTAGAAGGAATAGTTGTCGGAAGAAAAAAAGATGCTAATGTTTCTTGTATAAAACGCGAAATTGTTAAAGCATTTGTTTTCTCAAGTTGCTGGCATGAAATAAGATGAGATTTTGGTAAGGTATCTTCTTTAAGAACACCAATCAATAAATGAGCAATATACTTTCCTGAGGAATCAGTGGTTTCATCTACAGATATGTAAAAATAATTATCTGCAATTTCTTCCTTAATATTAATTAACCGACGAGTATAGCCCGTTTACATTATTTCTTCTTAGAGACCGATCACTTGGAACATTAAGTTTGCAATATTTTTTTAGAAACGAACTAAAATTTACATTTGCTAATTTTGAAAGCGGTATGTTTGTAGACACTAATGCGCGACACAGGTCTTCATTAAAAGTTTCTTGCTCATCTAATTTTTTTGAAGTAGATTGGAAACATTTAGCCATTGAAGTTTGATGTTTTCCTCCTATTTTTCCTTTTTTTGCAATGTGTGAAGCAGTTCTCACATGTTGGTCTATCTGAAATTTCTTCTCACATGCTATCTATAAATAAAAATAAAAACCATTATTTTAACCCAACCTTTAAAATATAAAAATATACAAGGTGTTTTTGGTTAATCAAATAACTGGTTTGGAAAAAAAAACACTCGCTAAGTGTTTTAAATGCAGTATTAATCCACAAATTAGTTTTTGTTACTAACCATTAGTACATCATATAACTTATTTTAAAATTCAACAAAAGTTTTTTTTTGTTAATTCAATTACAATAAAAATAATTGTGTTTTAGAATAGCTGACTTCATAAAAAAAAGTAAATGTGAAAAATTTTTCTAAATACACACCATTGTATTGTACCATGGACAATTTTTTCTCACTAAAGGAAGCTATTTTTCATTTAAAAACAACCTACGAGTACTAAATTTCAAGTAAATACGTTTATTGGTTTTAAAGTTATTGTTGTTATTAACTAAAAGAATTTAATTTTTTTTTAATTTTAACACCCTGTATCTCGAAAAGTAAATAAGTTTGACCCCTCATTAACTATATCGTTTTGTTCAATTTTTCGAGAAGTATCTACAGTCAAACGTTGTAAGTGTCATTTGGAAACACCCTGTATGTATGAAATATTAGATATTTAATAGAAAATATTAGATACTTACAATTTTGCCACAGACTGAACAGTAGATTTTTCCCATATCCATAGACAGCTCTTTATAAGGTTTAATCCAAGCTGAAGCACTGGTTGTTTTAGGCATTATAAAATCACAATCTTCCTTTTTGTTACGCACAACGAGTGTTTACGCTTTGAATATCAAAACAAAAATGATTTACAAATCTGAGCATCAAATTAGAAATGTTTAGGTACCTAATTCAGTAAACTGGGAGATTTTGGAAAATCCCTAAATTAGGAACAAACCTATTAGCCGTTTACCTGCTGTTAAGATACAATAAATTGTAGATAGATTTGGGGATTAGATCATAAAATGCAAATGAGCGAACCCTTAACGATTATCCAATAACTGAATGCCTCAGTGACCGAGACTTTCTAAGAATGTTGAGGGCTACTTAAATTAATCTTCTTTGAAATTGTAAATGTTTTGTACCTGTAGAGATAACGTACTTAGATCATTTCTTGATTAAAATGACTACAAAATTTTATACAAGAATTGAAATAAATTGGTATGTTTAAAAATTTTCAAATACAGTATAAAAATCTGAACTTTTATGCACATTATGCAAACTTTTATACAAATATGCCAAAATATGAAATATTTGCATAAAATATGCACAATATGCAAAATATGATAGATGAAATAGCCGAAAATTACCAAAACAGATATACAAGGCACCATACAGAGGAAGTAGAATTACCTATGAAACACCTTGAATATAGAAAAGAAGTAGGCTTAGACCAAATACCAGCAGGAATTATTTAACTAATTGTAGAAAAAAATTAAATGGATAACAATATTCACCCCATTTACAGAAAAGGCGGTGATACGCGAAAATTTTAAAAAACTTCTGTAATAGCCTCCAGTCAACAATTTTCTAATCATGTTTAAAAAACGTACCGAATGCACTGTGTATACTAACGCAAGTCGTCAACATTCGTGTTGTTGCAGTTATGTATTACGATCAACTTAAAGGTTATGCATGACTCCCTTTGTAAAGGTACATAGGCGTGCTCCCGTGCGAAACCAAAATATTTGTCATACATTCATACCGTTATATTATAACGTTAAATATTTTATGGTGCCCTTTGGGTATGATAGATAACCAATATTAGAACCAAAATTCGAACGAATGATCGACTTTTTCCTGCACAGATGCAAGCCTATGTACCTTAACAAAGGGAGTCGTTTACTGGGTATTAAAGAACCATCTATGGTCATCATATAATTTTACGCCAATATTTCACGTTCTACGATGCATTCCACGTATGTTACACTGTCTTCTTTAGTTTTCTGTCATTCTGTTTGTTAAATCCTATCCCATTCACGTCACAGCGTCAAGGAACAGTAAATGTGAGCAGTTAACGGGAGGCATATGTTTAACAGTGAACGTTGGACTTTTTCGCGTTTATCATATGTACAGTAGTTAACTAAAAGTGGAGGTATGCAAAGAGATGTATGACGTAATTGTATACTATTCGCTAAATCCTGTCATAATAACAAATAATAATAATATCATCAAAGTAATATGCCATACACCTCTGTGGGTGAATACGTTTTATTGCTGCCAGTTTACGGTGTTATTACATGCCGCCATGTTTAATTTGTCTCCACCATCGTATTATCTCCGTCAAATCCTATCATTTTAAGCTCTATATATCATGATTAGACCTATAGGACCGGAGATACGTAACTAAGGCTCTTTTGACACAGCATATATAGGAGCAAAGATATATACCTAAGGTTCTTTTGACGTGTTGCTGTATTTGATTTCTACGTCGTAGTATTTTATTGGTTATATGCTATCATTTGAGGTACTGTACGTCACGATTGGACTAATAGGATAGAAGACACATAACTAGCCCAGATTTAGTATTGTTTTATTGTTTATCTTGTACGTTGTCAAATAAATGTGTGCACTTTATATAAAACATATTTCAGACAAATTAAAGATAAACTTATCGCCAAGTGACGTCATGCGCATCGACGTACAAAATTCTCAGAAACATAACTATGGCCCTTTTGACATGCTGCTGTATTTTATTTTTCTTTCTCATTGTATTCTATTGGTTAAATCCTATCATTTGAGGTGCTGTAAGTCACGATTGTGCTACTAAAAAGAAGATACATAACTAAGGCTCTTTTTACGTGTTGCTGTATTTAATTTACAATTTTAAGTTATTGTATTCTCTTGGTTAAGTACTATCATTTGAGATATCGTACGTCACTATTGGCCTAATAGTACCGAAGGTACATAACTAAGGCCCTTTTAACATGCTACTCCATTACTTCATTGTATTTTATTTGTTAAATCCTTTCATTTGAGGTACTGCACGTCATAATTGGACTAACAGAACCGAAGATACACAACTAAGGCCCTTTTAACATTGTGCTATATTTGATTTTTCTATCCCATTGTATTCTTTACGTTAAATCTTATCATTAGAGGTACTATACGTCACGATTGGACTAATAGAATCAAAAATACGTGACTACGGCCCTTTTGACATGTTGCTGTATTTGATTTTTCTATTTCATTGTTTTCGATTGGTTAAATCCTATCATTTGAGATACTGCACGTCACGATTGGACTTATAGAAACGAAGATATATCACTAAGGCCTTTTTGACATACTGCATTTCTGTCTTATTGTATTTTATTGGTTAAATCCTATCATTTGAGGTGCTGTACACGACTGGACAAATTGGAGCAAAAATATGCAATATATCATAACCCGTTACTTTTAATCAAACAAGATGCTAAAATGATTTGTGGATGAAAAAAATATATATAAATTCTTAAATTTACTATTTCGTTGTGGGTAATATTATATTCAACAGAGATGCCAAATTTCTGATGCTAAAATGATTGATAATGAAAGTGCGATATACATTTTCATGTATATAATGGCAGCGAGTAAACGGTAAAACCCTGAACCAAATATATATAATATTTTCACTCTACCATCATTTTAGACTCAAACATTTCCTGGAATAACCTTATATAACTCAGTAAGGGATAAAAAGAGAAAGCGGACATTTTAAAATACCAACACGGTATCAAATCTCTAATCATTGAGATGGTTAAAATTCTTGTAACAAGTACAGAAAAAAAGTTATTAAGGTCGTGTAAAGTAGCGTCGATATACAGATGCTACTTTGCAAGACGATGCTAAATTGATGGTAAAAGCATAATGTATCGATGCCAAAATGATAGTAGGATGTATATATATATATATATATATATATATATATATATATATATATATATATATATATATATATTACAATATCTATAATATAGTGTTTCATAATAATTATAATAAAGATTATTTGAAAAGTGCTTACAAACTAATTCTTTGAGAACCGCGACAAAAACCCTATATATGTTATTCAAAAATATTCATTGCTCATAAAACAATACACAAACAAAATATCATAGCAATATATAAGCATGGGTATTATTAAAGAATTTATTCACTGAATGGATTTTTTTATTAATTTTAGAGGGATATACCAGTATTAGTGTTCGTGAACCACTAGCCAACATTATCGCACAAACGAATGAAATGAAGAAAACAAAACGTGAATTCGTAGATCCACATTATTCCACAGTATCGGATGATTCAGGTTAGTATGTTTACCATTATGAACAAAATATTTTAAACATTTTTTTTTTGTAGTTTATATTTCGTTAAGCTCTTTTAGTCTTTGAATTATTATAAAATCATATAAAATATTTTTTTCACAGCACCCAGGTGTAAAATGTCTGCCGGTAATTACAAGTGATGTTGCTATTTGAAATTGAGTTAATTTTATGCAATTAGTGTAGTAAATGCTCACGTACTATGTTTCTCAGAGAGAAAATGAATGTATAATATTCTGTCACTACTTTTTTAGTGACCTGAAACTTTCTAAATTTTGCAAAGGCTGAAATATTTTAGAAACAACTTCTATAATTAGATTTACAGCTTACAAAAGCATTACTACTTGGAACGAAGAAACAAGGAGATATATGCCAAGCCTTTCTGTTTTGACGTTTGAATGTCGATCTACATCATACTAATAAAATCTAATAATTATAAATTGCAATTTTTGAGTTGTTGAGAGACTAATTGAATATGAAAATACAATTATATAAATTAATTTATCCTTTTATTTTCTAGACGACGTGTACACTACAATACCAGACCCAAACAATCCTATCTATGCTTCTGAAAGTGAAACTTATGCTCGAATACCGCCACTACCGATAACCGTAGAGGTTGAGATGAATCCACCTCCCCCAGCACACTTGCAAATACAACAACCAAACATTGAAGAAGTTTACGCATCCCCACCACAGCCACCACCAGTAGATAGTCTAAGACAAGTAAAGGCTCACAATCCGACGAAAACATACTCGCATTCACGTCAAGGTTAGTTTAGCAAGCGTTGCTTTTCCTCTTTACTTGAATGTTACACTTTTAAATATTTTTTGGGAGAATAAACGCTTAATAAAATAATTATATAATTGAATATTATTTCAATACTTAACAACGTCGGAAAAACTTTTAAACCTATTGTTTACGTACTTTTAAATTTATTCTCTCTCCCTCCAATGGCACCACAGCCCAAATTGAGCGTTGGCCTCCTCCAAACTATGCCTTCAACCTCCAATCTTCTCCAGGTTCTCACGTCTAGCAAATTTTGCGCGTCCGCTGCCACTTCACTCTCCCAGTTTTTCCGTGGCCTTCCTTTTGGTTTTGGTATTTTATTATCTTGGTCACTTTTTGGCAATCGGAATCGGAAATGGATGGAATGGACTGCAACTCCCCAAGGATATGTCCGAAATTTATTTGCAAGCATGCTGAGAAGGATACAAGCAGGATAAGAGCTAGAGGGAAATACTCGTTACTGTTCATGCAATTGTTTTAGTTAAAAATACTTGTTTAAGCAATTTAAATTAGCATTTAAGTTTAGAGTAAAATAACCTTATTCACCTAACATTAAGCATTATTTTTGTTGCAATTTTCTTCGCATAAATCTTAAAATTTAATATAATTTAATATAATTTAAAATTGTTCATTAAGCATTATTAAATTAAACTCTTCTTCACAATAAACAACTTGATTGACCAGAATTTATTATCAAAAAATAGTTAAATTCCAAAATGTTCGAGTGTATTTTTGTCCGAGTGTATTCCATATAAAATCTTTTCTTCGTTAAAAACTATTCAGCATTTTGACATTAATAAATACCGTTTTTATTACTCATTACAGTTACTATAAGAAACTTTTATATTATAAATGTTACAGCGTCATCTTCAAGTTCCATAGCCAATTTAGGTTCACCGAAACCGGAAAAACGGCAGGCCAACTCCCCACTTCCACCACCACCCGCTGTTTCCAATTTTGATTTTCATATTGATAAACCGCAATTCATAAGAAACCTTGATGACCTATATGCCAAGGTACACAAGACCAAAAAGGAAGATGCCAATCTGGAAAAAGTAGAAAAACGAAGTGTTACACCAGAAAGTACAAATTTAGGTAGTATAAGATCGTCACTGGAGAGCAAATTACACGAAAAGAGGTACAAAGATCACAATTATGAGACTTTAAAAAAGTCTCCAAGGCGAACTAGTGATCCAGGATACGAAAAAATTAAGGGTAATAACGACCCTGGGTATGCTAGCATTAATGGACCTGAAAGTATACCAAGTTCTGACCCAGGCTATGAAGTACTTAAAGATAGGTATGTTTCTTAATATTTATACATAATTTTAATTCTACTTTATTTTAAACTTTCTATTCATAATTCTATGGAAATATTTTATTCATGTGTCATAAAAAAGACATGAGTGATGATGCAATTTTCATGTTCGAGTTCTTGTGTTAGCGTGTATTTTTAATATTTTTTTTTTCATTACATGCAATATATTTAATAATTATTGTTGTATTGTGTTAAAAATTTTGTACTTAAAGTAAGAATATTAAATTGCATTGAATCAGTCGACATATGTATCCTTCGTAAATTTCTTAAACTTTCTGGGCGGATTATTTTTTCAAAAATTTAAATAGTCTGAAACAAAAAAGCCTATACTATTTGCCAAGTATAATCTCTGTTAAGGGAGTTTTACAATATTTCACAGAAAAGCTAATACTTCGAGGTAACACAGAGGGTAAGGAAAGGTCTGAAATAAAAATCAAAACTGGTGAGCAATTCCCAAGGCAGCCGACATAGTTCGAAATTATTTAGAAGAAGTAACTCAATAAGCATCTGTCGAAAATGTCAATTTCATGTATTACCGTTATCTCAACGTTATTTTAAATCGAATACATTCCCCAAAAGAATTAAAATGAATAAAAAGAAAGTTGGGAGCCAATGTGTAACAATAAAACTCACAACTTTCTTTGGGAGCCAATTTCTAAGGCTTCGTCTAGCTTAGTCTCTCAGTATTGTTCTGAAGCTATTTTCTTGTGGCGTTTTAAAGTAATTACTATTTAAATGGGAATAAGCCACAATTAAAGGTTTAAAGTAAGTTTATTGACGTTTTAATTTCCACTTCGGAAATTGTTCTCAAAATACAAACAATATAAGCAATACAGTAAAAAATTACTTTACAATTAAAAAATGGTAAATGGGTCAGCTAGTATAACTAATTTACGAAAATTTGATAGAATCCAATTTAAAGCCATACTTGATAGAATCCGAATTTGAAAATTGTGTTAGGGTTGATGAAAAGCACTTCAAGTGAAGCCATACTTGTTCTAGCCTCTGAAAACCCACTCCCATTACGCAAAGAATATCTGGCAAACAAATACTTCCTAATCCAACATTATCAGTTCACCTATAATGCTAAAATAATTAATCAATTAATACAGTTGATTTAACAACTGCATTCTTCTTAAAAAAGAATTCCTTACCACTTGTAAAAGCGTTTGTAACTTGTAATAAACTTAAATTAATAAATTCTCCTTATCATTGAACATACCACATCTGACGTGCTAAGTGTTTTATCTACAAACATTATTATTCCTAAGTGCTAAACTGAATTTTGTCATTATGCTCTCAAAGAGATCTTAAGTAACTATTCAGATTACGTTGCAATCTATACAGATGGGTCAAAATTAGTATCATGTACAACCAGTGCTTACTTAGTAAGCAATTTACTTTAAATAATCAATCCAGTATCTTTTCCGCTGAAACAAGTGCTATACATAAAGCTCTTAAATGGTGTTGTGAAAACCAGTGGAACAAAATTGTCGTGTGCACTGATTCATTATCAGTATTAAATGCATTACAAAACTTTAAAGTCACAATTAACAGCAATATATTCATATTAAAAATTGTTCAACAGTTACTGAAATTATCAGCTTTATATGATGTTAAATTCGTATGGGTTAAGCGACATTCAGACATTGAGTAGTAGTATTGCGGATTCAATAGCTCAAAATCCACTAAAGCACCTACATATTGATTTAAGAATTTAACACATGTGATCTCCTTGCGTATGTGAAACAGCATCTTAAATTTAAATGGGATAGACGTTGGATTCAGTTCGGTGAAACCGCAGGAACTAATTTGTTTAATTTACAACCAAGAGTGGCTGCGAACCAATTTTACAAAGTTATCATTTTGCAGTGTCGACCATCCTAAGATTAAAAGTATGTCATGGATGTTTTCCGAACCTTCTACATAAAATTGGAGTTCTAACAACAGACAGATGTGAGTGTGGAACTAGTATAGCTGATCCAAATCACATATTTTTTAAGTGTCCCTTACATGTCAATACAAGTACGTGGCTGCTTCAAGAATTGCTTAAAGCAGGTTTAAATACGTCCTTAAACTTAAATCTACTATTAAGTGAAGATAATACAAAAAATTTTTAAAATTGATTATGGTATTTCTGCAAAAAATAAATTAAAGGTGTGAATGAAAAATTTGACCGTTTGAATGGATATTTCCTTTATATGTGTACCTATTTGTTGCCCACCTATCTAACCGTGGTTTATATCGTGTGTGTTATAATGAATTCGCTCTGATGAAGCCCTGAGCGTAAAAAGTGTCACCTCCCTGTACAATCCTGAATGAATGAATACTAATATTTGTACGTAATCACGCTTCTAAACCAACGCTAAAATAAAAAAAATGTATACTGTACAGTAACAAAATAATATGGTATTGTACAGTATTTTTATCAAGGTATGAAAGAAGATTACATCCTATATTTAGCATTAATGAAAAATCTGTCACCTTGGTCTGTTTCCTTTTCCACAAAACCGACCTAACCTTGTCCTGAAGATGCATAGAATCTTCCGTAGCACTTATATTGTGTTCCCGGTGGATGCAAAACCGATGAAGCACTTTTGTCGCATCCAATGCCTGCTGATTCTGGTTCTGCTTCCACTTTCGGACAATGTTTTCTTCTTCTTCTCCTATCCGAACTGCTTGTAGGATGTCCTCGTCAGAAAGTCCAGATATTGTAGCTACTTTTTCGTCAACATCTTTGAAATCTGTTAGCTCTTCCAGTCCGTAGGTGAAAGGAAGTTCAAACTTTCTGGCCAAAACAGCTAGCAGGAGGTAATCCTTGGTCTTCCGGCCATCCTGCGTGTTTAAAGGAACGCTTTATTGTATCGCCTGTCACTTCGTCCCAGGATTTACTAATAATTAGGATGACATTAAGATCGTTTAGTTTGAGATCAGTATTATTCTCAACCATTGCCATCAAAAGTTTTCTCCTGTAGGATAATGCAAGTTCAATATTTTTAAGGTGGCACAGTACAGTATGAGCAGGACAATTGTCTACAAGCAAAATAATTTTTCCCTTCAAGCTCGGCATCCAATTTTCTTATCGCCTCTTTTGCTTTTTAGGTTGCGATTAGATGTTTTATGTTTTTAAAGCAACGTGGGTTTTTCGACTTCCTTATCACTAACAATTTTCGCGTCACTGAACCTGTCATTTAGCGGCCACCAAAACCGTAATGCGTTCTTTAGAAAGCTTTTCACCAACGCACTTTTCTGATTTAAATTTTAAAGTTCTATTGTGTCATTTTAAAAAACAAAACAAACAAAAACTCGTCAGCATTGAAAATGTCGTCTGTATATATACATGCGTGTATATATATATATATATATATATATATATATATATATATATATATATTATATATATATATATGTGTGTGTGTGTGTGTGTTTTAAAATTAGCAAAATTAATTAAGATAATGACATTAAATTTGATTTTCTTTTTCGTTCTGTCAAAACTTATTACTAAGGTTTACATGTCTCTTCTATTTTTTATATTTATTTTAGGTTAGTTTGACAGAGGAAGTGTCTATGTTTATGCAAACCTTCATTGCAAATTTTGAAATATGCACGATACACACAGACACGGTATGCCATTGCGCATGGTAGCGCTGTCTCTTTCGCCGCATATGACGTCACGCACGAGGAAAATGTTCATAGAATTTTATGAGATACGTTCCAATTTTATCGAATATAAAATCATGTCATCTGATTATTTGATTAAAACTGATTGTAAGATAATTAGTTGTACTATGTATTATTATTCCTAGGGACTTGCACTTTGTTCATAAGTCAATAAAATGTATTTGAAAATTATTGGCGAGGAAACACGTCAAAAAAACAATAAGCCTTGATTATTAATTCAAAAATAATAAAAATACTTTTTTGAAATAATGTCTTAATAACTTTTTGAAATGTTTTCTCTTTTAAATTTCCACGTAATTAACCCTTAGATATTTTCAAGAACATTGATGTTATATATAATACTATTTTTTTTTGGACCGAGATGTAAGGTTCTAAAAGGACTAGGGAAGGTGTCCCTAGTACTGTTGGATTCAATCCGGAGAGGAGCACATACTAGGACATAGCATCCAAAGAATGGATTATATGAGCCCCATGCACCCTTAACCAGTTGCCTACCAACTAAAACCACCCCTTCTTCGGACAAGGCATTCCCGGACGAGTTCAATCTGTGAACGAAACATTGGGATGCCTTGCGCAATCTGTAAAGTCGAGTGGAAAGGAAGATGGTTTTTATCGTTTTTAGGTAGAATAAAGTAGAATTAAATCTAAAGACAGTATATAAAAGTGCAGATGTATGATACTATAAGATATATAATACTATAAAGTTCTATTAAAAAAAAAATGGATCATTTGGATGTATAAGAGAACCTCTAGAGAGAGTTTGTATCCAGTCAGGGGCCCTAGTTATGTCCATACCTGCAGTGGGGTTTTCCAATGAGTATTTATTTTTAAATTTGTATGCTACAAATCCTGCAATATATTTTAGTGATTCTTGACTCACTTTTTCTTTTACCTCAAAATCTTGCATTAGCTGCCCTATTTCGTTATCGATAAATTCGTCTTGCAAATAATATGGTTCTACAAAAGAAATTGTCATAATTTCTTTTTCGGTATATTCTTTTGTTTGTTGCGGGTCGTCAATTTTTGCAAGGTTGTACAACAATTTCTGTGTCAAGCAAACTTCTTCTGTTTCTAGATCAGATGTTACGCCCTGAGACTCCTTGAGAATATCCAACAAACACTCCTCATTAGAATCTGTTGTATTGCGGTTTTCTGTGAAAATTGCTGACGAATTTTTGCCCAGAATGTACCATCGAAGTCTGTACCGAAAGTCGAGGGGAGAAGGGTGATCATTACTTGCACCCATGCCCCGAATATATGCAAAAAAGTTCTCAAGAACATCTTGGTTTAGTCTAGAAGTT